TCACTGGCCTCTGATTGTTACTTATTAAATGATTAAAATTAATTCAAGGGCCAAACCTCATTCTGTCTACTCAGCCATTCATACTGAGGTTCTGTTCAGTCTTGACACCATGTGTGACCTCAGTTCTTACCAGCCCAGAGGACATGAGTTCTATGGAGAAGTCAGATAACACCTTGGGCAATGAGAAGTAAACTGAGTTTGAGGATGGGGATTAAATATAAGGCCTCCAGTAAGCAAGTTCTTGCTGCTGCTAGGAAACCAGGTCAGGTGAGTACTGACAGCAAGGGCGAGTGGAGACTGAGCTCAGAAGCATTGCACTGCCCTGTCTTTGAGCCCGCTTGGTTCTCAAGTCTAGACAGAACTGAGCCCACCAATGATGGAATGAGCTGAATTAAGAGCCAGAGGTGAAGACATTGCACAGGAACTACTCTCTATGAGAGCTCCTGCCCTCAGTTAACCAGCCTGGTTCTTACAGTGTCCTCCAGCTAAAGCAGGCAGCTGGGCTGAAGAGGAAAACCACAGTGTGGCCTCCCAGAGTCCCAGTGCAGTGCTCTCTATTCTGGGTAAACTTTGCTCTCACATTACTTCATAATTCTCTCAAAATTCACTTTAAAAGGCTGTGAGAATTTTTTGAATATGCTGATTTTGAAAATACATAGAATAAGAAAATATATATCGTATTCATTGGTATTTTGCCTGCGTGTATATCCTTGTGGTGGTATTGGGTTCTCTGGAACTGGAGTTACAGACAGTTGTGAGCTGCCATGTGGATGCTGGGAATTGAACCCAGGTCCTCTAGAAGAGCAACCAGTGCTCTTAATCACTGAACCATCTCTCCAGCCCCTGAATGAATTATAGAACAAATGTTAATGAACACAAAATAGCTTACCATGAATCCCCATATCTGAAGGGACTATAGAATCAATTAAATCCAACCTAACAAGATTCCCTGGAAAGAACTGGTTTGGGGATGGGTAGAGTGGGGGGTGAGGTTTAGATGGTGAGGACGGAGCTTCCTAAACGCTGGGATTACAGGTGTGTGTCACCATCACTGAATTCAAAGGTTTGGGGTTGTTTTTGCTTTAGAAACAAGATTTCGAGCTAGAATTCGATGACATCTAATTCACGATGTAGTCAGTGGTCCTGATCCTTCTGCTTCTGCTTCCCAAGTGCTAGGATGACAGGGATGAACCACAATGCCCTCATAGGGTATTTGGTTGTTTTTTGTTTTGTTTTCTTCTACAATTTTTATTTTTTTTTACTTTTATTTTCTTTACATTTTGAAATGTGAATGTATAACAATAACTTGTTGAAGTCAATTTTTAAAAAAAAAGGTTAGCTGGATGTGGTGATACACACCTTTAATCCCAGCATTTGGGAGGCAGAGACAATCAGATTCTGAATTTGAGAGTAACTGGCCTACAGAGAGTTCCAGGACAGCCAGGCCTACACCGAGAAACCCTGTCTTGAAAAACCAAAAAAGGTCTGACAGTGGTGGCATATGCTTTTAATCCCAGCACTCAGGAGTCAGAAGGAGAAGGGTCTTGAGGCCAGCCTGATCTACAGAGTAATTCCAGGACAGCCAAGGCTACACGGAGAAACCTTGTCTTTAAAAAATGGAAAAGGAGGAACCGCCACACTGATTTCCAAAGTGGTTGCACCATCTTGCAGTCCCACCAACAATGGAGGAGTGTTCCTCTTTCTCCACACCCTCGCCAGCATCTACTATCACCTGAGTTTTTAATCTTAGCCATTCTGACTGGTATGAGATGGAATCTCAGGGTTGTTTTGATTTGCATTTCCCTGACGACTAAGGATGCCGAGCATTTCTTTAGGTGCTTCTCGGCCATTCGAGTTTCTTCTGTTGAAAATTCTTTGTTAAGCTCTATACCCCATTTTTTAATAGGGTAATTTGGTTGCCTGGAGTTTAATTTCTTGAGTTCTTTGTATATATTGGATATTAGCCCTCTATCAGATGAAGGATTGGTAAAGATCTTTTCCCAATTTGTTGGTTGTCGTTTTGTCCTATTGACAGTGTCCTTTGCCTTACAGAAACTTTGCAATTTTATGAAGTCCCATTTGTCAATTCTCGATCTTAGAGCAAATTGGACATAGCATTACCCGAGGATCCAGCTATACCACTCCTAGGCATATACCCAGAAGGTGCTCGAACATATAATAAGGACATATGCTCAACTATGTTCATAGCAGCCTTATTTATAATAGCCAGGAGCTGGAAAGAACCCAGATGTCCTTCAACTGAGGAATGGATTAAAAAAATGTGGTATATTTACACAATGGAGTATTACTCAGCTATTAAAAACAATGAATTTGAGAGGTTCCTAGGTAAATGGATGGAACTAGAAATTATCATACTGAGTGAGGTAAGCCAATCACAAAAGAACACACATGGTATTCACTCACTGATTATTGGATATTAGCCCAGAACCTTAAAATGCCCAAGATGCAACTCACAGGCCACATGAAGTCCATAAAGAATGAAGACCAAGTGGGGGTGATTCGGTCCTTCTTAGAAGGAGCAACAAAATACTCAAGGGAGCAAATATGGAGACAAAGCGAGGGACAAAAACTGAAGGAGGGGCCGTCTGAAGACCTTTCCACCTGAGTATCCATCCCATGTGCAGTCACCAAAGGTAGATGCTGATGTGGAAGTCAGGAAGTGCATGCTGATAAGAGCCTGATATGGATGTCTCCTCAGAGGTCTTCAAGAGTCTGACATATTCAGAGGCAGATGCTCACAACTAGCCATTGAAGTGATCATGGGGTTCTCAATGGAGGAGTTAGAGTGAAGACTGAAGGAGCTGAAAGGATTTGTGGCCCCATGAGGAGAGCAACAATACCAACCAACCACAGCTCCCAGGGTCTAAACCACCAGCCTGGGAGCACTTATGGAGGGATCCAGGGCCTTAGCTGAATATATAAGAGTGGAGGGCCCTGCTGGGCACAGGTGGAAGATGAGATCCTTGACCTCATGAAGGCTGGACGCCCCAGGGGGTGGGAGTTTTGAGGGTGGGGAGGTGGGAGTGGGGGGGTAGATAGAGGTTACATCCACAAAGAAGAAGGAGGAGGTGTGAGGGGATTGGGGGTTCCTGGGTGGGTGGGGGATGGGGTAAGGGGACAACATATGAAATGTAAATAAAACATCCAATAAAAAAATTAAAAAAAAAAAAATGGAAAAGGAAAAAAACAAACAACAAAAACAAATGGTAGTGGATGGGGATGGGGTTCTGTATTTTTTTAAAGCTCTTTTATACATAAGAACTGGTAGTAATGGCTCTTTCCATTCAAAAAGAATCATATGATGGGCGGCAGGGTAGCGAGAAAATAATTTCCAAAATAATTTTTGATCTTTACAATTCTGAACTGTATGACTCTAGAATCATATTTTAAAACAACAATATTAAGAGTGTGCAATATATTAACCAGTAGATGAAATAAAATGTTCCTGAAGTGAATCTAATACAAATAGAATTTGGGAAGTCACTACCTCCCAGGTTTCCACGAAGGTTTTGCCGCCAGCCAGACCTGTGCCCACCCCCCAGCATTTTCCATGTCTCTGTTCACTTACTGAGCAAAGCAGCCTGGACTACTGTTGGATGGCTCTGAGTGTTAGTACAGCGTTTGAGCAGGTCTGTACCAGAGCAGGCAGTGCTGCAGCATGTCAGTGTGTAGGTGGGGGATGTCTGACCCACAGCATAACTGAATTCATTGAGGAGGGTGACTGGATGGATGGCTTGCTTCTGGTAGGCTGCTCTTGGACTTGGCTGGTGAACTGCTTCTGGAGAGTCTGTCTGGACTGACTGACACTGGGATGAGAAACTCATGTTGATTTTATACTCAGATTTTTGCTTGGCCTGCCAATATGTCTGTGGCTCTGGTTGTCAGGAAACTCTCAATAGAGGATAGAAGACCTTATTTAACCAGCATTGAGTCTGTCTCATCCCTGATTGTTATTATCTAATGCAAATTAAGCTTTCCTATTGCCTAACATACAGCTCTGGACAAGAAAAGAGGAGTAAACTTAAGCCACAATATCCAAAGGGCTGAACAGTGATTAATCGTAGCAGCAAAGTAGGGCTTCCTGATAAATAGATACATCCATTTTCTAACCCAAATGTACAACAGGAACCAAAAAGAGAGAAGAAATCACTTCAAGTGACTTGAGCAGGAAGTGTTCATTTTTCACTTGTCTCCATGCTTTGGAAATCAATCCTTTCAACTGAGAGACTCCATCACTGCCTTTCCCTCCTCCACCTCCGCTACCTATTATTCTCATTTGAATGGTCTGTAACTGTCAAGTAAAGGTTGTTATCAGTATTGCATCTGGTCCAGATGGATTAGAGGGGAATGATGTTTGTGGCTCTCTGTAATCCCTCCATCAGCTCCAGGATTGCCAGTTTCTCCAGGGAATGTGGCAAAGCTGCAGAAAATCCCCCAAGACAAGATGTTTCAGGCTTCTCTCTGGTTTAGCTGGCAGACACACACACACACACACACACACACACACACACACACACACACAAAGTAATGCAGGCAAGAAAAATCAGAAAAAAAAAAAAAGTTTCTCTGGTCTGCAAATGAGAGGCAGCTGCAGAGTGAGCGCTCTGCTCCTCCTGAGGGTGGCTGCTGCCTGGTCAGTCTCAGAGGAGTGAGCACTTCCATGCATGTGTTCTGTTTCCAAGATAACTCAAAGCCACCTGCTTCAAGCAGCCTCATATGGAGTCAGATATGTGTACTGATGTGGCCTCCAGACTAGTTCTGCTTCCAAGTCTAAAAATAAACTTAACAGAGGCTTTGAACAAATCTATATTTTCTGGGCTTGAGCTCTTCTAGATTGAATGGCATTTGCCATTCGCTTTCATCATGGAATCGAGGGGAAATGGCTACAATGGAGTTTGCAAAATAAAATAAAATAAATTTTTTGAACAGTCTGTAGAGCAAGAACAATGAGACACGAAGTAGCCAGTCTTTACTCTTTTAAGCAGTAATTTATATTTATTGAAGTTCACAGTGTACACACAGGCTGTGGGAAGACAGAGAAGGCAGGCAGAGCACTGCTGAGCATTACAGAGGAAACAAAGTGAGAAAACAGAATACCCAGCTGAAAATTTTCCATTCCTTGCACTGAAAAGAGGTTAGCATCACAAGCAATAGGCATTTTAACATTTTTCTTTTTCTTTTTTGTTTTTTCCTACTCGAGAGCATTTTCAGTATTGTACACAAGTTTATGTTAAATTCTTGGTATTGAGTTTTGTTACCTATTATTATCTATCTATTATCATTAGAAATTGCTTACAAACGAAACAAAAAAATCTCCCTTTTTAAAAAAAACTCATAAATAGAGTATTTTAAAAGAATTTAGAGATGGCTAAGATGATTGATCTAAAAACAATATGTTTCATCTAACAGAAAATCTGGCAGGAGAAATAAATAAACACTGCCTGGGCACCTTCTTGAGAGCATCCAGGCCTTAAAATAAAATGGCCACAACCAACAGTGAAAGTGCTAGAAATTCAAAACCATGACCTAACCTGTTACAACTCCAAAGACCCAGACATCCACAGAAGACGAAGCCAAATTTGTAATGACCTGTCTCTATTTGTTTATTTTGAGACAGGGTCTCACAATGTAGCCCTGGCTGTTCTGGAATCACAGACATCTATTATACCACCATACTTGGCATCACATCTGTTTTTAGAAATATTTTCTGAGTATAAATCATGAATACCTGGATACATGGGAAATGCACGCATGCGTGCACACACACACACAAGAGCCAGAGAGCCAGAGAGACAGAGAGTGAGAGACAGAGAGAGACAGAGGCAAAGAGACAGAGGCAGAAAGAGACAGACAGAGAAAGAGACTGTCCGCCTCCTGGCCCCCTTCGCTTCCTTTTGAATGAAAAAGCACTATATCACCTGTATTATACACAAAAACTAGGATACCCTTAGCATGGTTCTTTTCCTACTAAGTTTAGTTTCTCTGAACTCTGCACACATCTGTTTCAACAGATCTGCTTTATAGTATATATCAAAATAGAGTCGGTGAGTCCTCATTCAGATATGTAGAAAAGCCAGATAGGCTTTTCACCGTTTAAGTATTGTTTTTTATTTCTGTGTTTTTCCTGTATCTGCCCCAACAGCAAGAAGGAAGAGATGGAAGAGAACCAATGAAATGTGCTCTTGCTGTGACACAATAACAAAGGTCTGTTAGAAATTTTCTTTTTCTTCTCCATCTAAAAACTGTTGGAAAAGTAGCAACCCCTCACATTTGAGCCATCTCTAGGGAATACATGGCTTCACTGTATGAGTTGAACAGTCACCATCAATTACATGATTTTCCACAGCAAGACAGACTCTTACATCCAAATTTTGAAACTATGAACTATTGCAGGGATGACGGCGCCTTGTATTTAAAAGGCCCCTGGGGAGGTCTAGTCAAAATATTTCCACTCCTCTCAGAAACTGCCATACAAAAGAAAAGAAGGACACAGGGAGAATCAAAAGGAAAACTTTCCTTCCGAAGGTCGCGGAAGGAAATGCCAGGCCGCTGGATCTTCCTCTTTTCCCAAAGCAGGCTGGATCAAAAACCTTGCCTGGGAACATTCATCCCCAACAAAAAGACCAAATTAGGTTTGCGTCCATTTCTGAACGCCTGTGGTTAATAGAAAGCCTTCATCATCCCGCCCTAAGTGGGTGTGTTTAATTGACCATGGATGTCCATGAGGCACAGCACCGGTGTTGGTGTTGTAAATAGATGGGTGAGTGATGGGCACATAGTTTTTCCATAAAGCAGAGCTACTGGCTCAGAGTGAGTGGACTCCGGCTTGAAAATGTGTTCCAGGCTATGGTGATACCAGGATGGAGTTGAGGTAAGAGAAGACAGGGTAAGGTTTAGAGAAGAGAGTGACCTAATTCCCTTCCTTGAGTTTGCAGTTTGGATCCCGACCTGGTACAATCCCGTTGTGGTTTGGTAGCCCCGCACCAGAGGGCGGGGGCGGGGGACACCTTCTGGGCAGTCCAATAGCTTCCTGAGCCACGTATCTTTCCGGCTCACATCCTCACGAGAAGGCCCCCCCCCAAATAGGCCAGGCTGAGCGAGGACTTTGTCCAGAGCCTTGGGACTAAACAGTTGAACCCTAAAACTTCATCCAAAAGGCCGGACCAGAAGTGCCACCGAGAGCTTCAGTGGCCCCCAGCAGAGGTAGTGAGGGACCCTCCCTCACTTCCATCTCACAGCCATCCGCACCCTAGACAGAAGAGCACCTTCAGACTGTACCGAGAGCAATACTCACAGTTCCAGTTAGAACAAGTTTTAAGTGAGGGTTGGGCTGGGAAGCCGCGGGCAGGAGGTCACGTGTGCCCCCGTCACTGTAGCTCCCCTCGCCTCTCCGGTTCGAGTTATGCCATCAAGCTAATATATTGTGACTGCTCTTCTCTCCTGTGACAAAGGCTTGCAGCTGCCTCCAAATCAATAGACGTCAAAGAAATATGAAAACAGTCATGATGACACAAAACTTAAATCCTGCTTGCAGTCTACACGACCAGAACTGCGCTTCTGTTCTCCAGGCCGCCGATTAATTTATCCCAAAGTTTAGTCAAATTTTTATTCCGCTACCTTTTTCCCAGTAGATCGCGCTACATCTGTCGGGTTTGTAATGTAATTTGTAATTACTGCCCTTCATGTGGTCCGGTGCCTTGAACCATCTTTAATTAAAAGCATAATTAAGGGAAGATCTAAAGAAAGACAATTACCAGATGGTCTTTTTTTTTTAAGAGGCAGTAGTTGCTCAGAGAGGGGCTTAGGGTCTGTCCCCTCAACCCTGTGCTTGGAGAGGGGGCGGCGGCCGGGTCCGCGCCTGCGCGCAGCAGAGGCCTTCCTGGGCCGGTGCGCACTGACCCACTCCTTGGCTCCCTGGTCCGGGCTCTAACAGTTCCATGGGACCGCGCTCAAAGGTGAGCGCTTGCATCTCCCACTGCATAGAGACTGACTTTTTTTTCTTTCTTTTCTGGTGGTCTCAGGGTTTGGAGCGGCCGCGGGAAGTCTGGAACCAGATCAAGGCTGAGACAACTTCCAAATTCGCGAAGCCCCCACCCCTACTCACAGAGTACGGTCCATCCTGCTGAGCTAGACCCTGGGAGTTCTGAAACAGAAAGGAAAGGATTGGTGGTGGAAGGAAGGATGGGAGAACTGGGACTGATCCACCACGGGGTTCCGGCTTAAGTCCACCCCTGGATTCGGCCCAACTAGGTGGGAGCTGAAGGAGTGTTCCCAGGAGGGCTCCCAAGGACAAAGAAGCCAACCAGACCTCATCTTTCGCCGCAGCCTCGACGGGCAGAGCGGCCCAGGATAGCGATTCTCTCGGCTCCCTGGTGTCCATGGGTTCCTTGGAATTTCCAGACTAAGGGTGGGGAGAGGTTGAACCCCGTCTCCGTTCCTGTCTCATCCACACACACCCCCCCACACACATAAATAATGCAGACGGGAGCCAAGAAAGATTTCTGCATCAGCACCGCGTTGCCCGGGCGGCTGGCGCAAGGATTCCAAAGACGGAGAATGGAAATTAAACTGTTGTTGTATGAAGGGGATGTCATTATGTGACTGCTCATATTCAAAGTCAGGCAGCAGCGAATTGTAATCATTTCAATTATCTTCAATATATTTTCCTTAGGACACAAGTTGTCAAAGATTTTTTTTTTTAAGGAAGTACATTCTCGCGGTTCCGTGGGTCCATTTTCCAGACGGTTTGTTACTCTTGCTGCATGATTTGGTTTCAGCTTTTATTCCCCAGTCTCAGAGTCTCTTACAGAGATTTCTCTGGGTGGGAAGAGTCACTTCGGCCCTTGTGGCTTCTCTGGCTGTGCGGACCGTGTGGAAAATCGGCCTCCGTGTACCTGGCGCGCGCGTTTTTGTTGCTTTCAGGTTTAATTAACTTTGAACAACAAATATGCTTCGAGTTCTGGATCTGGTGACGCCTTGGGAAAGGGAGGGGGTTGTATTGTACTCTGTGTCCTTCCCAGCCTGGAGCGGGAGGTGAGGGTGAGGCTGGCAGTGCTTGCCTGTGCCCTCCAACCCCCAGGCCAATCAAGCAGAAAAGCACGTACTGGACTGAGCGGGGATCTAGGCTCAGTCCAGGGAAAGCAGGGAAGAGCCGGAACTGTGCAGCCCTCTCTCTGTCTCCTCTTGTCCCCATCGTTGGACAGTGGCACGTTGGATGTGATGTCCTAGTGAGGAAAGAAGGAGATCTGGAAAAGAGCTCTGCAATCCCAGTCTGGGCATAGAGAGTAAGAGTCGCCTTGTCAGCCCTCCTCCAATCTCCCGGATTAAGATTAATCCCGATCTTTACACTAATATGTCCTCTTTGGTTTTTATTATACTCATTTGGGGGGAAATGAGCTCTTGCCAGGCAAATAGCACCCCGCACCTCACTTCTCATAGCAGCGCAGGGCTGGGGCCTGAACAACCCCGCGGGCAATTCCCGAGCTGCCGATATTATATTTGTGAAATGTCCTTTTGTTGAGGCTTTTAACACCTTATAACGAATCATTTGTTCCTTTCTCTTTAATTTTGATAGACAATTAGCCATCAGAGATACACCAGTTGACTGTAACCGAGCATTAAACTCGCCTTTATGCAACGCTAATTTAGCATAACTGCTTTGTTTAACGTTGCTATATAAGAACCAGGTTTTGTAGTATTTTTTTTAAAAAAAAAAGGTGTAATTTTATGTGGGGCTTCATTTCTTTTGGCCTTGTACGCAGCAAGCCCTTTCCTCTTTGTGAGGCGTTCTGCTGGGGCCCAATGCCATTTCCCAGTGCCTAGCACCTGCAGGCTTTGGGGGTGGGGGGAAAGAAAGGGAATTAGCATTGATATAGATTTAGTTGAAATGTAATCTCTTAAATCTGTCCAAGATTCAGAGAGATAATTACACTTTCACTGCATTGCCAGGGGTCAGCGTCTCTGAGGACCGGAGGAGTTGATTTACTAACAATAGTGTTACATTTAAAAAAAAAATGGCGTTGGAGATTATAATGTTAATGGCTGCTGTCGCTGGGGAATGCTGCGGCTTCCAACTAATTCCACATAGCTTCTTTTTCCTCCTTCCTTTCTTCCTGGGCTTCATCTTTGTAAGGAACTGGAGCCTTCCTAATGTTCAATTTGCTGCAAGCGCCAAAAGGTTAAGACTAGCTCTGGGGCTTGGTCACGACACGGTTGTTCTGATAGTGTTTGCATTGTAGCCTCGACAGTAAGGCTGTCCTCTCAGTAACAAGGACCAGAGTGAAGGAGAGTGCTACGGGCACCTCTCAGCGAGGGAAGCAGAGGGCGCCCAGGCAGAAGACAGCACCAGCTGGACCTTCAGGAGTCGGCTCTCTCTGGCCTTGTGTCTGCGGCTAGGATTGCAGCCTGGAGAAACGTGCCAAGCTGGACCTCTCTCTCCCTTGGTCCTGGAGCTCTTCAGTCAAACCAAGGCCCTGTTCTGTACCCCCTTCTCCAGCTCTAGCTGGTTTCTGCACCTAGAGAGTTCAGTTACCACAGAGTTTTCACCTTAGCTGGAGTTGGGCAGGGGACTGGGACCTGAGTTCAGAGAAACATCTCGGAAGTCCTGATTCCTGTCAGGGTGAGGATGAGCTTTATAACTAAAAGCCAACGTCCTTCACAGTAGAGATTATTATGGAATTTACATTCACACACACACACACACACACACACACACACACACACACACCAAACTTCAGGTACAGGGGTCTCAGTCCCCAGAAATCCTGAGGTTGCCTCTAACTAGTAGTCTTGAGAGTTTACTCTGAAGTTTTGCACCACAAAGAGTACCACTTACCAGTGTGTGGAGGCCTCTAGTAGCCCACCAAAGTACAAGCAGGCGTCCCTCTCATCATTCTCAAGTGGACCAATAGCCATTGAAACTATGTCCAAAATGCCCTGGCTAAACAGGACTCTCAGATTTTCTTGGGAAAAGAACACAACTGGTTTTGTGGCCTCCTCCAGTGCTAGATGGCTGAGAATCCAAATCCAAGGAGTGTCCAGCTGCCTAGGTCTGCCCCCAGGGCCATCCCCCAGGGACACACACACAGAGAGAGAGAGAGAGAGAGAGAGAGAGAGAGAGAGAGAGAGAGAGA